CCAGGCAGGCATTGTGCCGCTGAGCTAAATCCCCAGTCCCCACTCAGCTAGTTTTACGAGCCAGATTTCTAGCACCAAGTTCTGTGGAAATTAGAAATGGCCTTTATTAGACACTGGCATAAGTAGGGTCAGGGTCTAGCTACTATAGTTAGGTAGTGGAATCAAACATAGTCTCTTACAGTTGTACATCTGAGTCAGATAAATGTTGGTATTGATATAAACCAGTTATATTTGAATGAATTATCATTAATCTTACCAAAATGTCATACTCTTCACATTTAAATACGGGCTAAAGCTAAATGTAGAACCTATTAATAACCTAACTAACCTTTCTAGTTTTCTTGTCTGAAATAAGATCTTTGGATGATCAGAATTTGAAAGACTGTAAACCTATGAAATTTGCATAGGTCTGATGTAGCTAAATTGCCTGAAATTGAGAAATACTATGTTGTAAAAGCCTATAGAATTAGTTATAAACTTTAATCAGCTTAATTTTTAAGGCGTGTAAGAGATCTTCCCCGGTTGTGTATGGAGTGGATCATGTGGTGTTAGGTCAGTGGCCCATGGGTTTCTTACAGGTGCCTCTCCCCTGTTGGAGCAGGAAATGGAGAATGTGTCATTCGGCAGGTCTCGTAACATCAGTGAGAGTGAACAGGCAGACCCTGGTGGGACTGGGCTTTGTAACCAGATAGACCTGGGGTGACCAGATGGGTTTCTCTGACTTCTCAGCCTTGTTCTCTTGTGTATGGCCAGAGTAACTACACAGATTTAGTCCCCTGGTACTAGGGATTGAACCGAGGGCCTTTACACGGAGCTACAGAGAATTAAACAGCAACAAGAGGAAAGTGCCTTGACATATACTAAGTGCTCAATAAATACGAGTTCCTTTGCCTTGAGAGGGAACAGGGAAGAGGAAGCCTTTGTCAGAATTCATGGTAATAAGAGTGCTTCAGTGATGACTGCAAGCTCATTTCTTTTAATAAGTATTTGAATCCTTTGCCTTGTGTAAGGTGTAGTGCTACAGTGAAACAGTGATGCTCCTTAGGGCTGGAATTGTGCTTTAAAAGCTGTTGCCTGCTCTTGTTGCGGTTGGCTTGCAAGGTGAGGAGGCTGAGATGAGATGGCAGCTCAGGAAAGGAGAAAAACTTTGAGATGACAGTGATAAGCAGCTCAAAGTCCAAGGTCTGAGTATACTGAAGAGACACGGGGGGCAAGTGTAGCAATCAGATACGTGGGGAACAGTTGCCCAGAAAGACATAAGCCTTTATTAAAAAGTTTTTAAAATGCTGTAAAGGTAAAAGGAAGTGAAATTTTTAACGGTCCTGTGTCACACAGGTTTGTTTTTTGGTTTTTTGTTCTTGTTATTTTTGGTTTTGGTGGGGTTTTTGAGGTGAGGTCTCTGTTACTAAGACCGACCTTGGACTCCTGGGCCCAAGTGATCCTCCTGCTTCAGCGTCTAAATAGCTGGGGCCCCAGGTGTGCACTGTTGCACTCAGCTAAATATAGTTGTTACTATGTTTGCCCGTTTCCTAGTCATTTTAGAAAGCCACAGAAAGTATGTATTACCGTCATTATGATGCATTATCGGCAGAAAGAAACACCTTCCTGTTGTATCGTTTTAATGGAGATGAGTGATTCATAGCCCCTTTTTTGGAAGAAATAAGCCACTCCTGGTTATAAAGGTGCCAAAATACAAGGCAGGAGTGAAATACGGTAAATGAAACATTCTTCTTCATAGGAATATTGACATGTCTGAGGCGTACTGAAGTTTTGGAAACTGGGGAGGTAAAGGCTTTTTAGCTTCACCAAAGAAAAATGAATAAAATTCTAAAAATAATACATTGGCAACCTTTGCATGTTGGCCACCGTGAGGCATGTCCGAAGGCCTCACTTTTCAGAGCTCTGGAAATGATGGCGCGTGTGGGGCAGCCCTCTCCTCCAGAGGAGTGATGATTTCTCTTGAAAGGAAGGGGAAAGTTCTTGTTCTCAATCCCAGTAGGTCACTTTCCTCATCCCTAAAATAGGAAATGGACCGCGTTATCTGACTGAACGGATGCAGATGACTCTGAGGTTGTCAGAGATGGTTGGCCCTCAAGTATGGATGGCATCCAGCCTGCTTGTCCTTGCACTCTGTGCCAGATCCCGGCAGAAAAACAGGTGGACGGGCAGTGGGTAGGTACAGACGTGAAGGAGACACCCCCGCACCTCCCGGCGTGTTTTGCTATCTCTTGGCTGACACAGAAGTCACATTATGTGTCTGCTGTAGTTAGGGTTTGCAAGGGAACAGATTCAATACAGGACACATAACTTACAGAATAAATGCAGAAGAGTGCAAGAGATCTGTCCATATACTAGAGACCCAAAGAATCCAGCTGAGGGCCTCCATCCCACGGTAATGACCTGTGTGAGTCCAGCTGGAGGCCTAGAGCCTACGACAAAGTCTCATGCAAGTCTGTATCAAGGAGCTGTACTGGGAAGGCTTCCAGGTCAGTGGTGAAAGCTAGTCCGCACCAGGAGGTGAAGGATCTGTACCGGCAGGCTGAGGAATCTGTACTGGGGCCAGGAAGCGGCGCTCAAGGTAAAGAACCGCAGCCATCCTCAGCAACAGCCAGGACCTGAGTTCCTTGGACAAAGAACAGCTGAGTTCTCCTATCAGGAAAACCAGTGTGAGAAACTTCTCCAGGAGAATCAACAGCACACCCTCTTCCCCTCCAGTTCTCTTTTTATGCTGTTGGCAACAAACCTCAGGTGGGCCTTCCACACCCAACACCACACTGATTCAGTTCAGCTGGGTGTTACAAGTTGACTATTAGGTAATCTACTACGATGTCCCTTTGGTCAACGCTAAAGCCTTAATTTCTCATTATTTTAAGATAATCTCATTACTGTATCTGTCAGTGCTATGCAGTAGTTTCTCACATTAGCATCTTGGCTATTGTATATTTTCAGGGTCTCTGTTAGCCAGGCTGGCTTAGAACTTATGTAGCCCAGGCTGGCCTCAAACTCGTGATCCTCCTGCCTCAGTCTCCTATATCTTCTT